GAAGCTCTGTCCCCATTAAACACTAACCCCCCATCTCCCCTCCCTGAGTTCCTGACAACCACCATTCTGCTTTCTGTCTCTATGGGTTTGACTTCTCTAGGTAACTCCTGTAAGTGGAATCCTGCAGTATTTGTCCTTTGTGACTGGCTTATCTCATGATTTCATAATGTCTTCAAGGCCCCAGAACTTTCTGAGCCAGAGCCTGTCCCTTATCAGAGATGGCCTGGCGTTTACTCGTGCTGCAGGGTTAGCCTTTTATTTCCACAGTGCCTGTGACCTTCATGGGCTACTGGTGTTGGCGCTATCACTCCCGCAGATGAAGCTATAGCTTGGTGCCCCCATCTCTAGGTGGGGGCACAGTTTCTGTTTCACCAGGGACACCAGGACTTCCCACTTTTGCTGCGGAATTGCTGTGCATTAGATGGTGGCTGATGCCTGATTCAGTGACTAACTGTATCCTGTCACTGAGGCTGACCTCTAGTGTGTCCCAAAGCCTGAAGACTCGCTGCCTTGGGCAGTGCTGGAGTTGTGGAGGTGAGGTGCCGCTAAGCTCATCCCCGTACTTGTCACCTGTCACAGAGCTCCAGGCTGAATGGTGGCTGTGGCCTCCTGGCCAGTTGCATGAACTTGATGCTCTCGCCGCTGCAGTTGTGGGTCTAGCCCTTAGTGCCATTTGAGGCCGAGTGAGGCATGGGTAGGTTAACGGGCCCTGGGTGGGCCTGGTGGTGGCTGCCACCACCTGGTTGTCCACGGTCATACATCTATGATGACATCACGCAAGCCTGAGTGTTGAAACCTTTTCGTGACCTGTGGGTGGACTTGGCCAGCCATTGTGTCTCCCTCACCAAAAGTGTGAGCGTTTTCCATAATAAACAGGAAATTTCATTCACCTGCAAAATAATGAACTTAGCTCTGTTGGCTCCAAGTTGAGGTGTTGGTGAGTAACTGGGTGTGCAGTGGGGGGGCACTCAGCTCTGGCTGGGAGCTTCGGGACCTGTATTCAGTGACTCGGGTGCCTCACTCCTTCCTCCTTTCTCTTTCCCCATTGTGCTCTTGGCCCCCCACCATTGGGGGAGGGGGAATAAGGCCACATTGGGTGGAATGTGGGGGTGACCTCAGCTCCCTGCGCTGTCCTCACTCCTGGGCCAAAGCTAACTTGGGCTAGAGCCCAGCCCATCAGGGCGCCCCTGGGCCCCTAATTCCCAGTGCTTTGGTTTGGCATCACCGCCTCCCCAGCTGTGTGACTCTGGAAGCTGTGTTGTTGAAGTTGTGCTGGTCTGAAGACAAACGGTTTGATGAAGGGAGATGTTGGGCTTCATTTTTGCTGAGAGGGAGCCGCTGTTCAGTACTGAGTCATCGCTTTTTCAGTGCTGACCCGCTGTTCCCAGAGCCGGCCATAAAAGGCGGTGGTGGTGTGGCCCAGGCAGGCCCTGCAGCCTCCCAGACGGGCGCAGGCCACCGTTCCCTGCCCCGCTCCCCTCAGCCTGACCCTTAGCCTGCCTTTCTGGTTTTCTGCTGACTGCTTCCTCTGGACGGCCTCTTCATGGCTCTAGCAGCCAGTGCATGGTGTCCGGGGTCCTCGGGGGCTTGGACTTTGGAACCAGCACCCTGTGAGGGTGGCTGGTGACTATCACAGCAGTGGCCTGGCACTTGCTCCATTCCCTGACACACTGAGCATGGGGAATCAGGTAGCCCGGCCATGGGACTACCAGAAGGCTGCCCAGGCCTCCAGAAGGCTGATTGCTCCTCTGCCCAGGCTCAAGTTCAGAGTCACCACGGCTATGCTGCCCCCAGCTCCACCTCACCTCCACCCTGTTAGGAAACGCCGGTGTGCTGGGGTGGGAGAAGGGTACACATTGCTGTCCTGGAGAGGCTGCCATGCTAAGTGGACAGAAGCAGTGGATTTGGGGTCTTAAGTTTCGGTGTCTTCCCATAAGGACGAAAGCTGGCCTCTGGTCTCAGAGCCAGGCCCAGCATTTGTTGCTCTTAGTTCCTGACCAGTGATGCAATCTCAGGCTGCTTGTCCCTTGTTCCAGTGGGCCTTGTCACCTCTCCCCTCGCTTGTGCTTTGTCCAACTCACGGGAGTCATTCCAGTGCCCGGCCCTGTGCTGGTAGCCCAATGTCACCTCATGTGACCCTCCCATGATCTTAGAAGGAAGAATTGGTTTTTAAAATTTACAGATGAAGAATGTGTAACTCGGAAGTTAAGAATGTAAGGTCACAGAGTCAGTGGCTAAGCTGGGAGTTGAATCCAGAGCTATCTTTTTTAAAAGCCTGTGTTCTTTCTGAGTGTCCGAGTGTGGGGAGAGGCTGAGAACGCTGTGGCGTTAGACACACAACTCTGAAGCACATTTGAACCTGGGGGTCCTGACAGCCAGAATGTTTATCTAACCAGGCAGGGCTTTAGCCCTAGGCACAGCCCCGTAGTGTTAACTGTTTCTTAAAGCCCTGGTGAGGGGCCCAGGAGCCCAGCTGTGGACGTGCATTTGGCCCAGGGGCTTTGCAGGCCGGGGAGCAGCCGGGTACCACTGTAATGAAAAACTGCAGGCTCCTTTTGAGAGGGATGGAGAGGGCGGCCCTCCTGGTGGAACCGTAGGTCACTCTGGACCTTTTCTTGACATTTTGTCCTTTTCTTTGGTCTTCACCTCTACCTGCTACTTTCCTGTTCCTGCAGTCTAGAGAAAGCACGTCTGGATCCCCACGTGCAGGAGCGGGCTGTAAGCTGAAGAAATGGGTTTGTCTTGTTTCTGAGCTGCTATAGAGTGGCTTCTCTGGGTGATTCTCTGAGCTTGACTGAACTCTGGAAAGTACTCAATGGTGCCTAAGAAGGCCAGCCTACATTTGGGGGGCCTGTAGGTAGTGGATGAAGACCAAGGAGACAGAACCCAGGGACAAGGAGGCTTGCCCAGAATCACCCAGGAAGGAAATGGCAGCACAGGGCCTGGGACTCAGGATTTCGGCCATTGTTTCCACATGGGCTCCTCCCTCTTCTTAGGATTCCTGAAAGGTGAAAAACAGTTTTCACTTCTTCTGGGGGCAGTGGAAGAAATGGAAACATTTTGAAGAGGCGTAATTGTAAAACAATACAAATTAAACCACCATTACAGAAACCCCAAGATCCACTGGCTTAAATCAGATAGCAGATAGTTTCAGTCCAGGGCCGGCCGAGTGGCTCAGTTGGTTAAGAGTTGGCTTGAGAGCGCGAGCTCTGAGCAACAAGGCCGCCTGTTTGATTCCCACATGGGCCAGTGACGCTGCGCCCAAGCTGAGCTGTCACTGAGCTGCCAACAGGTGGCAGGATGGCTCAGCTGGTGTAACAACAAGATTGCCTGTTCGATGGTGGGCTATGCCCACCCGCAACTAAGACTGAACTCAGCACTTTGAGCTGAGCTGCCGCCCGGATGGCTCAGTGGATAGAGCGTGCACTCTTAACAACAAGGCTACTGGTTCGACACCCGCATGGGATGGTGGCTACGCCCACCCGCAACTAAGACTGAACTCCGCACTTTGAGCTGAGCTGCCGCCCGGATGGCTCAGTGGATAGAGCGTGCACTCTTAACAACAAGGCTACTGGTTCGACACCCGCATGGGATGGTGGCTACGCCCACCCGCAACTAAGACTGAACTCCGCACTTTGAGCTGAGCTGCCGCCCGGATGGCTCAGTGGATAGAGCGTGCACTCTTAACAACAAGTCTGCAGGGTTCGACTCCCACATGGGATGGTGGCTATGCACACCCACAGCTAAGATTGAACACAGCACCTTGAGCTTAGAGGCCACGAGCTGTCGACGGGAAGCCAGATGGTGACTGGTGCCCTCCACAACTAAGATTGAAGAACAACAACTTGGCTGGTCCCCTTCCCCAATTCCCCAACACTGTTCCCCTCCCTCAATTCCCCAATAAAGTCTTTAAAAAAAAAATAGCAGTCCAAGGCCATCCTGGCCGTGCAGCCTTCATCTGTGAACCCAAGATATCTACTCCAGCTTCTGTCATCCCCTGTATTCCAATCCTCAGGAAAGCAAAAAGGACAAAGGGGGGCTCATACTCCTTTCCTTGCTCATTTCTGCTGCCAGAAAGCTGGGAGGTGGGGGTGTCAATCCAGCTGAAACTAGACAGTTCTGTTATTAAAGGAGAATTCCAGTTAGCAGTCTATGCCACAAATGGCACCATTCACTGGAGGACCTTAAGTGGTCGGTGGGAACCAGTACTGAACGGACCAGAGAGCTGGAGCTCAGTACAGCTGCTTTGTTTAGAGGACTATTTAAGACCTAGAGAGGGAAGTGGTTTGCCCTACTTCATAGACTCGGTTGTAGAGCAGAGGTCAGCAAACTTCTTCTGAGAGGTCAGAGAGTTAACATTTTTGGCTTGCAGGCCTTATGGTCTCTGTCGCAACAACTGAACTCTACCGTTGTAGACAGAAGTAGCCATAGGCAGTATAGCTGAGGGTGGCTATTCCAGCATAACTTTATTTATAGAAGCAGGTGGTGGGCCAGATTGGCCCCCCGAGCTGTAGTTTCCAGCCCCTGTTGTAGGAAATAAATGAAATTCCTGCAGAACAGGGATGCCTGGCATGGAAGCACGGGACATATAGCAACCGCAGATAATATTGCTATTATGTATTGTCTCTGCTGTGCCTGGGCAACTGGGTGGCAGCTGGCAGCGGCACCTGAGTCTGTCCTCGCTGCACAGTGCTGAACCACGCTGCTGGGGTCTCCTCCTCACTCCTGCTGGAGTCTGACCCACTTCAGAGCTTGCGCTCTCTGACTTCCTTTGCATTATTTATTTTCTCAGCGCCTCTTCATGCCAGGTGCTGCATGGGTGAGGGCACTACCATGGTGGGTTCAGAAATGGAGGGACCTGATGACCCTGCCCTCAGGGTGATGTGTTGTCCACGTGAGCACATTCTGGAAATTTAAATGACCCCAGGCAGGAAAGGTACCAGACCAAGTCAGAGCTGCCTGGCCCCTGGGCCTCTGAGTTCACCCTTCTCTTCCGGCAGGGTACGACTTCGCGGCAGTCCTGGAGTGGTTCGCCGAGCGGGTTGATCGCATCATCCTACTCTTTGACGCCCACAAGCTGGACATCTCCGATGAGTTCTCAGAAGTCATCAAGGCCCTTAAAAACCACGAGGACAAGATCCGGGTGGTGCTGAACAAGGCCGACCAGATTGAGACCCAGCAGCTGATGCGGGTGTACGGGGCCCTCATGTGGTCCCTGGGGAAGATCATCAACACCCCTGAGGTGGTCAGGGTCTACATCGGCTCCTTCTGGTCCCACCCACTCCTCATCCCTGACAACCGCAAGCTCTTTGAGGCCGAGGAGCAGGACCTCTTCAAAGACATCCAGTCTCTGCCCCGGAATGCTGCCCTCAGGAAGCTTAATGACCTGATCAAGAGGGCGCGGCTGGCCAAGGTAGACTGGGGGGCGGGGCCGGCTGCTGAACTGGGCGTAGGGGGCGCTGGGACTGGCCAAGATAGATGGGGGCGGGACCTACTGCAAGATGGCTGCAGGGGTCCCCAGGGTTGGTCTGCCTTGCCTTTTGTGATGCCCAAGACCAATCCCTGCAGACCCCTGGTCACACCTACACTGCACTGTGTTTCAGCCAGTTCTCCTTTAGCACCTGGGGGTGCAGCCTTTTCTTAACTGAGATTCTTTTTTTTTTTTAAGATTTTATTGGGGTAATTGGAGGGGAACAGCGTTGGGGAATCGGGGAAGGAGAACAGACAGGTAGACAAATTGCTGTTTTGTTCTTCAGTCTAGTTGTGGAGGACATTGCTTCACTGGCCCATGTTGGTATGATCATTGCGCTCTTCCTGGGTGAGGCAATCGGTCACCGGTCTTTGGTCGGCCCGCTCATGGCAGCTCTCGCTGGCTGCCAGCCACTCATGTAGCTCACGGCAGCCCACTACAGCCCCGCTGCAGCCTATGCCGTTGCCGGCGACTCACAGCAGCCCAGCTCCAGCTCGAGCTGTTGTTCATCATCTTAGCTGTAGAGGGCGAGCGTCACTGGCCCTTAATGTGGGATCTGAACCGCGGCCCTGCTGCTCAGAGCTGGTGCTCCCAAGCGAGCTCTTAACCAACTGAGCCACACGGCCAGCCCAGAGATTCTATTTTTTTTTTTTAAAGAGTTTTATTGGGGAATTGGGGGAAGGGGAACAGACAAGTTGCTATCCTTTTGTTCTTCAGTCTAGTTGTGGAGGACATCG